TTAGGTGCATGAGAGCCTTGCTGGTCCTTTGGAGCCTTTGGAAAGGCCGCGCATCATCGCAGAGCATCCCATCCTTCTTCCCCCGGTCTTGCGCGGTCGGTGCATCCTCTGTCAACGTGGAGTCGGTTCATATCACGTATCATATTAGAAACATCGCAACATCTGATATTTTTTGGTATTTTATGGCATCTGTGGCATGACATTTGTGGATTTTGAGTCAGGGAATTGGTGTTTATCCGATGATCCTCGAAGAGACTGCATCTCACGGAAGTCTTTGGCATGTTTTGAGCCTCTATGTTTAACATTCTGAGTGCAACCAACCTCCATGGTTTCGCACGCTGCACAGGTCTGATGAAAGTCATGCCGGACCCTCCCGTGCCGTCAGAGTAGCATAGCCTATATCATCAGCACAGTCTTTGGGTTTGTGGATTACGGGTTTGTGGATTGGGGGGTTGGGTCTGCTTGGGCTTCCCCACTGACTTGTGAGTTCCATGACAACAGTCACGCCAAGTAGATCAAGCTGGGAAGACCATGTGCAAGCCCAGAGGGAGACAAGACGCATGTCAGATGATTGATAATCTCCTCTCGTAGTTCTACTTCGTCTACTGAGTTGAGGACATCTATACTAACCCGTGCCCCAAAAAAAAAAGAAAACCGTGACATGGTCGTCGTCCGAAGGCTTCGTCTCAACCCCTTCTTTCTCCTCCTTCTCGTCCGAACTCACCGTCCGTCCGGACCAGGCGACGCTGGCGCTTGCGAGTTGGACGTGGGACGGAGCTTTTGCCGAAGCTTGGACCGGTGAAGCCAAACGGGATTCGAATCAACCAAGAGAGGTTGGTTAAGTGACCGTAAATAGGACCCGTCACCTGGGGTACCGAACTGGGATGGTCTAGTTCGGGTCCTTCAACCTCTGTTGGAACCTTGAAACTCAAATTATATATTCCAACTACCTCATGAGGCTCCCAGGGTTCCAACTACCAGGTTATGATTTGGGTTCCTATTCCATATTTTCAGGATTCCAACGACCTCATGAGGCTCTTCAGATGCGCTCATATAGTCGAACTGCCTTCAGCCCTTTGGCTGATTGATCTCCGCCCCGGCCCTCGCTGAACGTCCCTAGGACGTTTTCGGGAACCGGCCGATTTGCGCGGCTTGGCTTTGAAACGTGGCCAACACAACCTGCTGTCCATCTCCCGTGGACGACTGCGTTTAGCGCTGACCATCAATCCTGGCTCATCTTGCAACCCAGACTCTTGATGAATAAACCATCCCCTTTGGATTAAAAGTCCTCTTCATGTGGGGGTATTATAAATCAATGAGTCTACATGACATTACTGTTGTGATCCTGCTGGAACTTAATGGTGCTGTATGATTGTATGTGTCGCAACAAAGACGCATGGTGCAGCCCTCACGTCCCACGATACATCACGATACATTTGGGTCTTATAGGACCCTACTGGGGTACCTATTGATATAGGATAGTCGCTGGTTTGACCCATCCCATGGAAATGGTCGACTTCCATTCCAACCGAGTTTTCGTCTCAGCCGTCAGCCATAAGGCGCCGACTTGAGCTTGCGCCTTTGCCAGAACGAGTGCTTGGACTCGAGCGACTGCTACGGCATCTCGCATGATGGCGGCCTGGCAGAGTAGTAAGAACTACTCAAAAATCGTTGTTGACATTACTTCATTCTGATTATAGTAGTGGGTCATAGTGGGTCACCACACCACTTTGTAAAAGAAACTGGCTCACTGCAGGGGCCCATTCCATGACAATTACTTGAAGGGTAGTAGCAGCGAATCGGTGTTTTCGCAGCGCATGCCGGAGTTTGGAGGGTTTGGGCTTTTTTGCACCAGTCCCGGCAATCCAGCCAAGAAAAAGCATTAAACATCAACCACTCAGCTCTTAGGCTGCAACAATAGTTTGAAGCCATCCAGAAACTGCACATCCATTCCTCGACATCAAAACTCAACAAGAATTGATCCACCAAATGCACAAGGTCGTTTAGGTGGAACTTCAATTTGTGGTTTTTGTGCTGCCCACTCTGAACTCACGGACGGGCGTATAAATCCATGTGGTTTTGAGGTTCTATATAGATGTGGCTCATTTGCGTGTTCAGGGCCTAGATGCCTAGAAAGGAAGGTGCAGTCATCAACTGAAGCCTAAGATGAAGATAGCTTGACCCTCTCAACCCTTCCAAGCCTGACTGGCTGGGGACTTGACTGGCCCGAGCTGAGGCTCCGACTGTGATTTGTGGAGCGCGCCCTGCAACCTGAGCAAGTTGGAGCAGGGAGGCTACACTCTCATGTCACCTGGCAGAAGGTCGAAAGTGCAGCGTTGCGAGAAGCTGACTCCGGGCGTAGAAAAGCCATGGTGCAGGTAATGCTTGTTTTGTTGCTGTGCATTTTATGCATAGAAAGTGAAGGCGTAGGTAATGCAATCATCTACTTTAAATGATGTATCTCCAGTCTGCCATCCCTCGAAGTCGGTCCAAACTATCTCCAGTCTGCCACTGTCCCTCGAAGTCGGTCCAAACATGCGCGTGTTTGCGAAGAAACTCTGGGACTGGAAGACTCTATCCAGAATTTGGGAGGGATACCTGTCAGACAAAGCAATACATGTCGGCTGACCATGTGGCCGATCCAAAGAAGGCCTTTGACAGCTGAGAGATCATGTCTAAGTTTTTGTTGGGAGGTCGACTCATGCCAATTAACCTGAATGACGTGCACGTTGTTGTTCAAGACCCTATGCCAAAACTCCTCCTCTGCTTCATCGCGTCCGTTTCTTGAAAGCAGATGAACGATATATTCAGGACCATATTTGGAACTATCGGGCGAGAGGCGACCAACATATCCGTGCATGGCATGTTCTTTTTCTGATAGGAGAAGGGGAGCTCACAGCCCACTATGGAGAAAGAGTGGCCATTTGATCCCTAGGTCCAGAGAGTGTTTCGGCGCGGAGCTCCCTGTGCCACTTGGAGACTGAACATGGAGTGGTGCACCCCTATCCTGTGGAGTGGAGTTTCATATTAGACGGTTTTAAGGCATCGCTCCCCGAATATCTCGGACATGAACCTGGCCGGGGCTGAGTCCAGGTTCCGATATGTTCCGTCCACAGCCTTGTCCCGTTCCTGATCAAGTCACGGGTTTGGATGATGAGAACCTTGCTATACTAGGTGCAAAAGTGCTGCTTCATTAGAATTGTATATTCGTTTTTGTGCGCCTGCAGGTTTGTTTTTGAAAGGAAGGGACGCTTTGATTAGCGAATTTCAGTGATGCTTATGGTGCTTGCAGGATGCTTTGGCATTCCTTCCTCCCAGAGTCTGCAGCCGACCATTCTCATTACAGAGGGCTTCAAGATAAAACCAAAGACCCGACATATTCCGACGGGCAAAGTCCTTGATTTGCCCGTGATCCCAGCAAGGTGGTGTCAAGTTCGACCTCCAAACCAGTGATCAAGACTAAGACATGGGATGAGATCCAGCTTCTTCAAAGTGGCTTTTTGAAGGTTCCTAAGTGACCTAAACAGGAGGCTTAAGTGACCTCACCAGGATGATTTTCTTCAAAATGGCTTCCCAACTCCTGTGAACTCAAGGAGTTACGGTACCGAGGGACTCTCCACGCCCCGAAAAGCACCGAGCTAGCGGATGCTTCCGGGTGTCGACTCGCCTCAGGAATCCCGCGCCGGAAAGCCCAAGGAAAGGGTGGACGTGGATGCTGTTTTCATCCGGACATCGTGGCCAGGGTGCAAGCCAAATGAAAGCACCCCCCCGGTTTCTGGATGCGTTTGGCATGTGATGTGATTGCTCGTTTTGTTGAAGTGTGATGGCTCGTTCGAACGCCAAGAAACGAAGACCATAGTCCTGGACCTTGGATGACCTGGAGCGACCAGAGCGCTCCTTCGTTCTAGCTCGAGTCGGTTTTTGTTCGGAAGGAGGTGACTGATCGGTACTGCCAAGAGGTGGCCAACGTCCTGACATCAAACGGAAAAACGGATACACCCCGAAAACTAACATAGACCCTCTACCAACCAGTGGTTTCCCTCCACCAACCAGTGGTTATTTTCAGGGTCCATGTTAGTCTTCCAGGGTGTAAGCAAACTCAAGCCCCTCGGTATCTCTCGCAGTTCATGGCCTATTCTTGGAAAACTGGAAATCAATATACGTATACATTACATACATTGTGGTGATTTCAGGGGTCAATTAAGTAAATATTCGATACATGGAGTGTTTGGGTATGAATCATGTTGACTATGGTTGAATCGGAATTGCTTGATTGATGCTGCTGACATCCTACTGTAGCAGATCAGCAGGTTTGAGTGCCAGCTATTTCTTTCAAGCGGGGAATGTTGACAAGGTAGAAAATTCTTGAGGCATGCAAGCGAAGAGTCTCCTCGCAATTTTTGCTCCGTGGTATGTCTCAAACTTTGTTCAAGGGCCCATGGATGTACCTTGTTGGTAGATATCAGACTCTCAAATGAAGATGCTTGCCACACGATTTGTTGTTCCTATGAGTTTTTGTGCTGGTCCAGAGACGCCAAGAACATCCTGCCTACTCTCTCGCAAATTGACCGTTTTCCTCATACCAACCCAATGGTTCTGGGGTTCCATGTGGCCCTCTGCAGGGGAGTATTGTTCAAAGGAATCCCCGGAATCCACCAGAAATATGCAATCCACAACCAGAGTCAGAGGTTGAGATCTTTGGAACGAATGATCTTTGAGGAATCGGCCACACGTGTCTTCAGGCGACAAGTGCACGGTCCCTTCGAATACTAGCGTGAAGGCAACGATGTTCAGCAACAATTAAGACACGCGTTTCAAGTGTCTATAGAATAATTCCTTAGCAAGCAATGCAAACCTATACAGAGTCCCTTCTCATGGCTCCAAGTACCTCCTCAGTTCCGCCACGTTCCAAACCCACCCATCCGGGTTGCACCTGACCTGGCCCCAACCTTTTAGACAAGTACTACGAAGCCCAACGGGCGCCACGTTGAAAGGTTTCCATCCCTTTTGGCCGCCAGCGTTTTTCAGATCCGGCGCCCCAGACGCGCGCCCCACCGGGCGGTCGCCGCGTCCGCGCAATGGCGGCGGCGGCGGCGGTCAAGCGGCGGCAAGAGGTGGAAGCGGCCATTGTGGCTGGGCAGAAGGGAGCGGCAGAAGCAACGTCTGAAAAACAAGGGTAACTCCAGAATTCAACAGAGTTGCTACCCACTGGTTCGGTGGCATGGTGGGAAGACCAGCCTTGTAGCAAATGTAGATGCCCAACTGGTTCATGATTGAGGCTCACTCAAACACCAGAAGATGTGGGACTTGTCAGTCGATATGACTCTTACTGTTTGGACCATGCGTAATTGGGATGGTTGTGTGTTTTAACATGGTGATGAGATGGCTGCCAAAATCTGCCAAAGTAGCCCTGGAAATGGTTTTTGACAAAGACCGCAGGCAGGACGAAGTTCCTCCCTGTACGCCTTCTGTCCAGACGATATACATCGGATGGATTTCCTGCTGTGATCTGAGCAGCTGGTAGAGAATGAGTGGTTTGATCGAATTTGAAATCGGAGACTGCGCGTAGCAACCCACGGAGTGCTGTAACCATCCACATCTTCACCACCATGTGGAGTGGGGCTTCGGCCCGCGCTCTGCGCGCATGGAGGGGTCCTCCATATCCATGAACTCTCCCTAGGGCTCCAACCACCTCCTGAGAGAGTGGTTGGGGTGGGTTTTGGGGGGCTAACCACCTTCTGAGGATATGGTTGGAGCCCTAGGGTCTATGACTTTGGGCGATAAGAGAAGCTTTTGTGGCTGAGTTCCGAATGCCTCACTCAAAGCTTGATCACCTTTCATGTTGCTCACCCATCAAAAGAAGAGATGCTTGACCTACCTACCTGCTTCACCAGGGCTATGGCTTCCTTAATTATGGTTCCTCGGCCCACACACAGGCCCGGAAACAACATCATGTTCAGCCCCAGGTGTTCTACCAAATAGCAGTCACTGACACTGGACCAGCTGTTTGACCACCAGCATCAGCTGCAGGCCGCGGGAGAGATTCACCTGCCAGCGCAACCGATTCAGCCGAAGGGCGGCAAGCGACGGAATTCCCTGCCGGACGAGGGCGCCGGCTTTTGGAAGTATCAGCGGCAAGTCGCTTGGGTGGAAGAGTTGGCAGGGAAGACAGTTGAGGACTTGTGTGAAGTGGGGAGAGTTCTTGATAGTTCTTGTACATAATTTGTATTTCGAAAAGAACAAAACAGTGGTGGTGATACTGATATTTGTTCTTCCTTCACAGGTTCTTGCAAGGTTGAGGTGGTTGTTTTGCTGTGAGTTTCTGTATGATATGTGTTTGTATACAATGCTTTGCCTGTTCCTTTGGGCATTTTTGGGCCATGTGGCGCGGAATATGGGGATTGGAAAGGGACATGTGCTACTGTCCACTGATGACCTGAAGACCTTTGGAGAGCAGCAAGCTCTACCCAAAGTCAGGGGAGCAATCAGCTGCGTGGAGTTCATTGCTCTTGACTTGGTGTGTTTGGGTCTTGATCATTGACCCATGCTGCCCAGTCGTTGTCCGCCTTGAGCCATGCCAATGGTTCTTCTCCTATACATGACTTCAAGCACTAAACTTTTCATTCGTATATATCTGTAGCTGGTGTTTCTTTGCTATCTTCTCGTAGGGGACAACCCCCGTTCCGGGTGCAAACTCATATGGGGATGAAGCCCTGGTCCACCATGTGTGTAGCTTGATTTTCCAGGTAAGGTAGGTTAACCAAGGTATCCTCGCTAAAAAGCCACAGCTATATGTGTGTTACACCGGTATGTAGCCACGTAGGTAGCTGTTGCTTACATGGACGTGAAGTCGCAGCTGGCAGTGGCAGTACTCATCTCAGGGAACTTCTTAGTGACTTGGATTTGGATGACTTTTCAGGTGCTTTTTCTTTGTTCGCTGGCCGCAGATGAATTTTTGCCCCAGAAACCGCCAATCAATCCGTCCGCAGCTGGATCCCCAAATGAGATGTTTTTGTTTTTCCCCAGAAAAACTGCAGGCTAGAGAAGTTCTAACTTCTCAATGGTACGGCTCTGGATCGACGTTTGGGTTTTTGCAGGTGCTGCCATGCTGCATCGGCGTTTGGTTTCTGCCGGTGCTGCCGTGCTGGTGCTGGTCAATGACATCCTATCATGCCCAGAATGACGTCATGCCCCAGGGATGACAAACCTATACACCTGCTATTTGGGGCCTAGGGCCTATGCTGGAGCAATGAGCATTCCAGCAGAGAACCTAGAGATTCCCGCTTGGGCTCCAGTCCGAAACGAAACGAAGGTATGACGATATGACTGGCCCCCTTCTAAACCACCCACCCACCCACCCGTCCCACCGAACCCAGCTGAAGCTACGACAACGGAGCCCCAAACGGGATCGCCACGCGACCGCGACCGCGCCAGGTGAACATCGTGGAGAAATGGATCGATCCATCAGGCCCGGTGCGTCGTCCACGTGCGTCGGATCCTGGGTGACCAACAGAGGTCGCCGACGTGACCGGGACCCGGAACACCGAGCTCGGGTACCCGGGTACCCAACTAGGATAGTCGAACGTGACCGGGTTCTGACCCACCTTTGCTGGAAGGTTTGGTTGGGGACACGATGTGGCTTGTTCGAGGGTGGAGGGGGGAGGATTAGTGGGAGGGTTTGATTGGCTGAAGATGGACGAAGGGTCCAGAGATCCAGAGATCCAAAATACTACCGGCAAGTGGCTGAGGAGTTAGGGCTGCTAATGTTATAGGAGTTATGGTAGGTTAACTCCTCAGTCACTTGCTGGTAGTATAATTCAGTTAGAGGATTTGGGAGCGTCTTACGGCCGTCCAAGAGTTCTTCAGCAGTCCTTTTCCAAGTCGAAGGCTTGTGGAATGATGGCTGTGTGGGCTGCGAACTGGGGTTATGAAGCGATGGAGTGCAACGTTTCCCCTCCTAAGCAGGGACTTGCCACATGATTTCCCTATTGATCCACATACCTTCTCAGAAGGTATTTGGGCCCACCAAGCCTACATGAATAGTCTCCAATCACCTTCTCAGAATGTATGTGGATCCTTAGGGATTTGTGAAAGATGAGATGATTAACAATTGTTCTTAGTGTGACGGAGAACTCGAACTGATAAAGACGATTGATTGTATACAATCCAGCAGGGTGAAGAGCAATCATGTTGCAGGGATCGTAATACAGTCTTCTCAGTTGACTCGTTGAGTTGGCTTTTTCAACTATCAAAAAGTCGAGCTTGTTCCGAACGATTCATTCATCGAGCTTCCCTGGTTCATGTATACAGGTCAACTCAGCTTGAGAGCTGACACTGATCAAACAAATGAGCTTCCACATGTCATGAGCTTCCACGCCAACGAAAAGGGCAGACCTTGAGTTTACTCTTACTCAATCACCAACATATTAAGACCTTGAGTTGATGGAAAAAGTAGGCTCCACAATAGGCTCCCAGGAGGTCCCAGGAGGTCCCACGTGGTTCGGTTTCGTTTGGTATTTGGGTGATGTGTTGGATGCTTCTTTGGAGACGCTCCGACTCTCGGGCTCAGTGTGTTGTGTATCTTCCTAGGAGACCTTTTTAGGCGTTCCGACCCCCTCAAAGAAGGAAAACCAAGCACAGTCTATCCATGCACGACCCCCTCTTCCAGAGGGTTAAACAGACCCATCTAAGACCTTTCTGCTTGTTGCAGCCTCAAACAGGATCAACCAAGTGCATCCTTCTAAATCGATTCATGCAATGGACACCCATGTCGGCACACAGGTCTGGTGGTACCGCCGTGTTGCCGCTCTGTTTCGTGTTGCCGCTCTGAAAGGTGAGGTGCATGCTGATGTTTGGAGAGGGACGGACCTCTTCTTCAACATCCTTTTCTTCATCGCGACTCGGAGTGAAAATTCCCATCGAGAAAAAAGGTTTTGGGGTCTCCCGAGATCGGTTTCGGTGTGTTTGTTTAGATGTGGGCGACAACAACGCCACAACGCCGACCACAACAACAATAACGACAACAACAGGTAACAACAACAACAACAACTACTACTACTACTACTTATGCTATTGCTGCTTTACTGCTACTATTGCTGCTACACCTACTCCTTCCCCTACTCATGCTCCCCTCCTCCTGCTACTGCAACAGGTTTTCTCAAACTAATAACCCAGAGAGACGTTCTTTCTCCTTGCAGCTGGGTTCCTGGACCCGAGGAATTAATGATTAACATGTATGGCTTCTGGTGGGTCCGCTTCTGGACCTCAGCTTGGAATGTCTTCGACTTCGTGGTGGTCTCCATTGGCGTCCTGGTCTCTTGGAGTCATAGCGGTGGGTGGTCCTATTCGACGGGGTAGCTCAGCGACCGGGAGGTATCCAGGTCTTCCCCCACAGGGAGCAGGAACTCGGAGCGACCACAAGAGTTTCCTAGTTTATATTGTTTCTTTCTTTTGTTATTCATCCTAATAGCGATGGCCTCCATCCTAACAGCGATGGCCTCCATCCTACTAGTGATGGCCTCCATCCTACTAGGTGTTGACATTGGTAGTTTCTAAATCCGGAGGTACCTGTTTAAAAGCGCGATTTAACTTCAATTTCAGGTTGCTTGGTTCAGGTGGTTCATTCTCAAAGACAGCACTTGCTCGGCCACTTGCGCCAAGCTTTTCATAGATCCACCGGACTCAGCGCTTAGACTGTTCGGGGTTGTCCTCTCTGTGAAACCTCTCAGCAGGGGGGGGTCCTGTTTGAGGAGTCCGAGAGGAAGTAGGACGTCCACTTTTCAGGGCACTGGTTTTGTGGATCAGTTGGATGTTATTTTTCCATGATAAAAGATCATGAAACATCTCTTCTGGGGGATATGTTTTCCTGAAGCAAATCCAAGTGTTGCAATTGAATATATTGGTTTGGAGCTCCGGAGCTCCCTCACTATGTTTTTGCTTTCCCGAAGACATGCCACAGGGCTGGGCATGCATTTTCATATGGAACCCTGCCGAAGAAATGGCTTGTGGTAGTCGTTGCGGTCTATTGTTCTTCCATGTGGTCAAACGGAGGTCTCCCTATTCTAATACTCACTCCTTTGTTGATCTCTGAGGATGCCCAATCAGGTCGCCCAATCACGTCCAAATGACTTTTGAGACACCTTCTTTGGTTAAAGGATGCGTGTTACAAGCTCTCAGAACTAGGCTCTCACCATCGAACGGTTTCCTCACACGGCACACCGCCTGCTGCCCTAGGGCGCACCCCCCCAGCACCGCAGACCGATGCCAGGATGTCTTTCAAGTCCAGTTGCCCGGACCCTTGAGCCTCTTACGGATGATGCGCGCCTTCCGCGTTTTCCGACTCTTCAAACGAGTGACGCCTAGAGAAATTTATCCGTGACGCCGGCTGGGATGGCGGTTGGGCGGTGGGGGGTGAAGTAAATGTTGTATGTAATTATCCCTAGGGCTCCAACCATATACTCCGAAGATGGTTAGACCCCCCTGGCACCCACCCCAACCATCTTCTCAGGAGGTAGTTGGAGCCCTAGCTAGGGTATATGATTTACTATTTGGTGTCATTTCAGTGTGGAAGGTGGAAGGTGCAATATTGCCCAACCTGTTGCACGTGAAGTGTAGATGGCATGGGAATGAAGCCAACTGCTGACAAGATCGTCCTCAGTGATGTGACATCGCCCCTGATGTGAAGATGCTTTCGATGCCTCCTGGTGCTGGTCAAAGCCACCAACACAAGAGAATACGATCAAAGCTGCTGGCAGAAGACGAGATCAATTTGTTTCATTTTCCCACTAGTCCTTTTCCTGCCCGACTGAGGCAATCCTTGAAGAAGATCTTGGACTCCCTTACCAAGGCCTTGCCCTCTCACATCAACTCCTTTGGCGACTTGCTTTGGGTTCAGCGCCAAAAAGCTGCGCAGAAAAAACAAGAGAGGTGTTTGGTGACCTGAGTTTGAGGACCCTCACCGGTACGAAAAACGGGATCGGCTCGAAGCGCTTCGGACCCCAAAAAGGCCCGCTTTCTTCGCCCCAGGGTGTCGTTTCTGAAACATGACAGGAGTGAATAGCAGTTTTATTGAATGTCTTTGTAAGAGAAGATCTCAAGAACAACAACCTGAGATCTTCTGCTTTTGACTTGGTTTGGATTGTGTGCGCTTCTTTGGGTTTGCAGAGGGGCGATTTCGTGCAGGGATGCAAGCAGCATGCCTCACACAACTCAGTCACCGTCAAGATGTTCTCCAATTCTCTGGGCATTATGTTCTGTTCCCCCCCTGGCTCCCTTTGCTCGTCGATATTTTAATAAACTTTGCAGCCACTCTTTCTTCAGTCCACATTGGTGGTTTCATCACCGCATAAAGAGTCCTAAGTCCTCAGGTATCCTGCTCTTGGTGATGTGCATCTATGCGATCCTGGCCGTCGATTTCTTCATGAACTACGGTGGGGAGGGCTTTTACACCACCAACTTGAATGATACCATCGACGCGACCACAACGCGGGGGCTCTCCTGGGGCTACGACTACTACGGGACTCCTGGGCTGCATGTGAAACATCGGTCCTGGCCAGGGCCGGGCTGGCGATGACTCCTCCGGGGGTCAGTCCCTACACACCTGAGGATGTGGGACATGTGGCCCGTAGGGTTGGGAGGATTTTCATCTCAGACTCTCTCAGAAGGTGCTCGAGTGGGTGGCGAAGTGGGTGACTTGGAGGGTTTGGACCTTTGATATCCAGGTTTTCCACGAGTGGGCTGGGCCCGGAAGGGGTCAGACTTGGCTTGGTGATGCTTGGTGCATATGTACATATATACTTATTACTATTTGTTTTTGGCTTGGAAGGTGGGAGAGATGGGAGAAAAGCAAGAAAAATCAACACAACGCACCTTGTTCTGACATTCACACAGGAGTCATGAGGTGTGAAACACCAGAACTCGCCCAGCTTGAACTCGCGCTCTTATCGATGAAGACGATGTTTCACCTCTTCGCCTCCATCGCCAGCTTTCGAAAGCCCCTGGATTATCCAAATCGTCAAATAAGGAGCAATGATATAGGCTTTTACCACAGCTCAAAGACCCAGCATCCTGAGAACCATGTCTGTTTGGGCTACATGCCGCTGGCATGTCACCTGTTTCTTGATTTGGTGCATGTGAACGGTCAAGAAAAGAACTCAGCAAAGCAGGAACCCCAAGAACCCCTGCCGCTTGTTCGGCTCAGGAACTTTGGCTTGTCCTTATTCACAATGTTTCAAGTGGCCTGGACATAATCAGAACATGTTTTCTTCACTTTTGCACGTGGAATGTGGGAGCTGGAGGAATTGGGCCAATGAATTCAAACACATATATTTACATATTTTAAATCTTTGAGGTGCTTGCGTTTTGTCATATTATGTTACCATACTCTTCAAGCGATGCACCATAACACTCCATGTATGGAAAGAATGCCTACATTGACCCCAGTTCAACCGCCCCAACATGCCCAGCGTAATGTGGCAGACACGGAGTGTTTGGGTCATGAGGTCAATGGCAGTGGGTCGATGCGCACAGTGCGGTTTTCAGCGCAGCAAATCGGGGCCACCAAAACCTCCAAAAAGAAAAAGACATTTGCCGACCTCCCCAACCAATCTCCGGGAATCCGTTCAGAATTGACCCAGTTGACCTGTTCGGTGCTTCTCCGACCCGTCACCCTGAGGTCATCACCGGAGATTCCTGGTCAGAGGCCGTGGCCAGACCACTGGTGCACGGACAGGATGGCGTGTTAGCCTTCGGGAGCGCCATGTATTTCATTTCCTTCCAGTGCTTGGGCAAAAAATGAGGTCCAAAAGTGGGGAGAAGTGGGTTGAGAGTAGATGATGTGTATATGGACATAGAACATATATATATATATATATTATATATATGTTAAAAGTGACGTCATCTTTGGGTTTGTGCCACCTACTCTCTGAATCCACTCTAGTTTGAACACCCTAGGGCTGAACCCCCTACGGCTCCAGCTACTCCGGCGGATCACTCCTACCTTATGAGGATGTGGGTGCAGAAGCCATCGGGCCAATCATATATGATCTAATCTTAGCAATGATATCTCCAAAAGGTGCCCATGAGACGTCCAGTTCCCATCATCCTCTCTAGGACCGACCACAATTTCTCCAGGCTTAGTGGCCGAAGGGCAGAACAGACATGTGAAGATGCTTAGTAATGACTTCTCTTTGCGTGTGCGCCAACTTGGAGAAGGCGTTTCCTTTTCGACTCCGTTCTACGAGCCGAAGTTGTACATCATTCAATTCAGTTTTTTTTGCACAAATGAACAAGACTCTTGAAAGGAATGGCGAGCCCATGTCAACGTCGACTGCGCCATCCCTTCCATGCCACTACCTTCTCAACTGATATGGCACCGGATACAGTAATTAATAGGCTTGGCTGCCAATCGTGGTGGGGTGGCGTCGTTGGAGTGGTGTCTCTCATGGCTCAGGCTGGTTTGTGGGGTGGTCCTCATCAATGTGACCATTGCCATCCTCCTGGCGCCCCGGACCAAGAATTTAAGAATCACACATTTCGGAGGAATGACATCTACCATGGAGCTTTGCCGAGGTCACAGGTCAAGACCAGCCGTTACTGTAGAGTTGATGTTGCGCAAAAGGGGATGAAGGTCGACAAGTTGACAAGGATGGACTGATTGTCCTTGGTTCAAGTGACTGTGCTTCTCATCAAGATCCGTGTCAAACAGGATGCCCAAGAAGCTCCCTTCGGAGTTTCCAGTGATACATGTTGAAGTGTCACGAAATGATATGTTTTGAATCTTATTTGGACCATTTGGAAAGGGCGGAAAACCACTCCGACTGCTCAGGGAGCGCAAGAGAAGGGGAAAGATCAAGGGAGAGGGACGCACCTTCGTGAAATGGACATGCATTTCTGCTTTGAAGTAGACGCCCTGAAGATCTTAGAGCACAAACATACCCATGTTCTACGGTACTTTACGACTCGGGTGAACGCGACGAACAGCTGGACGTTTCGATTTCAAGCGACTCCGTCCGGACAGCTGGTCGTGGAAGCTGACCCCGTCCGGACCGAGGTGCTTGGGGTGGCTGGTATCGAGGGAACTGCAATGGTTGGGGTTTGATCACGTTATTGTTGACTTGATAGGGAGTGGAGGCTGCGGTAACCCCGTCCGCCAGGCTGCGTGAAGCGTAAGAAAGTTTTATAGGGAGACGCCCAGCCAAAGGGATTTGGTTTATCTTGTGCCTTCTTCCAGGGTTGTTAAGAAATCCAAAATTCTATTACACATCCAATTATCGATGGTTGTCAAGAATGCCACGATGGTTCAGCATTTGCGATTCTTTCAAGTGAGAGTACACTCCCTGGAATCATGGAAATGGAACACCACGTTTGTAGAGATAATCAATATTGAATGGTCATCCAAGGGGCCATTTTCCCACTTGCATGGTAATTCCAGCAAGCACATCGAATCGAGTGGTCCAGTTGGCAAAGGAGAAGATGCTGGACGACGGCTCGGAGAAGCTGGGATATGTGATTCGCAAACATGACACCGGTGAGATAAATTTAGAGAAACAGATCAAGATGCGGGAATGAAGACATTGTATATATAAACAGTTTTTTTTGCATGCGCCATTCTTGTTTTCTTGGCTGAGTCAGGCTGGGTCCTCTTGTTATTCGACCAAACCCTGTTAGATGGAAGGCTTCCTCGTTCTGGGCACCCCGGTGGTGAGAGTCTTCCCAAGGCGAATAAGAACTTATTCAGAAGACCATGGAAGACTAACATGGAAGCGTTTTGGTTGAGGACTCTATATACAAATACAGTATATACCTTCTGAAGAGGTTCCGGAAGACTCACCAACATGTTTGGTCAATATACCTTTTGACTTCTGTCTCACTAACATGGAAGCGGAACATTGGATGACCACGTTTTTTGATGTGATGTGACTCAGAGTGTACCTTGGACACACATGCGACGCAAAGGGTGGTTTATGGACATTACAATACCACCAACCAGATTTTGTCCTTGTAGGACGTGGACCTTTGGTGTGTTTTGCATCGTTTTGTTCCTCCTCATAGGACCTTTCTTGTGTTTGTCTCCCAGTGGGCCTCTTGCTGACGACTAGGACCGCTTGACCTCTCGTCTCCCAAGGAAGATGGAGGCGGCACAGCAGGAGGCCCAACGACGATTGCTGGAGGGAATCGACTTGGACAAGCTCCCCATAGAGGCTTCAGATTTCAGTGGGTGGAGCTGTGAGGTTAACCCCTCAGGGCCGATGCTTTTGCCTAACTTGACCCCGCGGGGGTTGTTGTGGTTCGGGGTCGAAACCAAACCTCGGGAAGGGTTGAACCCATTGCTGGAAACTACCACACTTCTTTCCGGCTTGGCTCAACTTGGATGTCAACTTGGGAGCCTTTACCACAAGCGAGCTTGTGACTTGTGACCTTGAAGTACTTGGAACCACCTAGAATTCTGGAGTGCAAGGCTGTCGATGGCCTGTTTGACATGATGAACTGACCCAAATGTCAGTCTTCCTCCTGTTTCTTGACAAAATGAGTGAGACACTCGTTCTGAGCATCAAAAGCTACAATTGCTGTAATCATTTGCAACCTCCTTGTTGGAATGCCTTTTCTCCTACAGGATTCTCATCACTTAGAGTGGGAAGGTAAGAAGGATTGCAGACCCAACGCCCGACTGACTAACCAATTGATTCCAGAGAAGGCCCCTGTCCCACATCCTCCGAAGGTAGGGACAGACCCCTCAAAAACCACCCACCCAGGTCACCCAGGTCCCACCTTCTCACGGAGGGACAGGTCCCTTCTCCTCATGCCCAACTCTCTCAGCCCTCCTCCAGGTGCTCGACGGCGCCATTTCGGGCTCGCTCACCGGCGATGCCCTGGGCGAAGCCGGGGAGATGTTGGAGATGGAGGGCGAAGTTCAACAAATGCGAAGGGATTGGCTGGCAGTGCTGAAGAAAAGCTTTGACTTATTTCATCTTATTTCCATGTCGTTTTTTTCAATTCTTTGTTCCCTTTTAAAGGTAAAACATTGGGGTTCGCTTTGTCCCCTTGTTTTTCCCCCTAAGAAAGACCGAGCTGCTGGCTCAAATTCACCTGCTGGCTCACAATCCACCTTAAGAGGAGAGCCAGTCTTAAGAGATTCTGAAGGTTGTATTTGTTTTGGGATTCTCCCCCGCAAAATGTGGTGCGCACAAATGGTACTTCTGCACAAATGCACTAAATGGCATGCACTGTGCCCCTTGCCCCTTGCGCTTTCACTTACAGAAACCGTAGAGAGGCGGACGCAGAGAGCCGGGGGAGGACCGGACCGGACGGTCCGAGACGTCGGAGACGAGGATTTGCTGGTGCTTCGGAAAGGCCTGAAAGATCCTTGGCCAAGAGAGGGACACACGATTTTGGAAGATGAGGCAATGACCTTCGCCTCCGGTTTTGGAGGGAAGGTCACGCGCCGAAATCGTGAGTAAAGTGGAATGAACTGGAATGAGTGGCATGGAAGTAAGTGTGATGTGCCGTGTCTATTAGTATATTAATAACAAGCCTTTGTTGTGAGCAATTTTTAAAGCAAGAGTCAACATTGACCTGGTTCTGGTCGTCACTGGAATCCTGTAGCCTTTGCATGCTAGGACGTTCTGGTGACTTTACAGAAGCCAGAGGACCTGAGTGCCATTGACGAATTAGAAGTTGCCTCAGTGACCGAGAGTACGCACGATGAATGACCACAGTGATGCCGCCGCGTGCGCAGCGCAAAGATGCGTGGGGATGTGGAGAGTGATTTGTGCTCTAGACATCCCGCATGGAGCATGATGCAGTTCCGCAAAAAATGCGTTGGAAGTTCCAATGAAGTTCCACTCGATCGACCTATCATAACATAAGAGATTGCAACATGTCACCATGCCTCCCAAAGAAAAGAAAGCCTGGTTTTGCTTAAGGTTATGTTCCAAATCCCCTTTTGGAGAATATGTTGTCCGGCTCCTTAAGCAAATCCAAGAAGTAGGATAAAGGCTGCCAAGGTTCAGGGTTCCCAGATATTCTTAGATATGTTTCGATCGGACGTAGGTAGATTTGCTTATATAGATTTGCTAGAGTTACGTTACATAGAGTGGAAAATCACCCCACAAATCATATCCTAAAGCTGATCGAGGGGCGATGTACAAAAACAACCACTTGACATGTCAAGTTTCTTCTTGCATACTTGTTTGCATGAGCGAGATGCGTGAAGATTAGATCAGCGGAGCCTTCAAAATTGAAAGGTCAACAGAGAACTAGCCTAGTTCTTCTTGGAACATGTCCACCCAATGCTTGTTTCAAGTCATGTAGACACGCTGAATATATCTTGGAATGAACAAGTTCACCGATGCTCTGGAGGACTCGGGCCGGCCCTTTCCCCGACATCAACATATGGTTCTTTTGTATGAGAGAAACTCGTGGTGTTTGAAGGTGCCCTCTCAATAAAAGGCAACGATGGCAAACCACGTTCCCCTACCAATCATTTGGAGGAAAAGAGTGTATCGAACCACTGCCCTGCACTGCGTTGCCCAAGACGTTGCCAAGACGTTCCAAAAAACCAAGTCGACTCAACGTCGATCCTTTGGAATTGCCCGTTGCTTCTCGGACGACGGTACCGAACAACCGAACCCACCGTCTCGGTGAACCTCTCTTCGTCCCCTGAAAACCCACGCGGTGGTGACTCTCACGTGGCGTAAAGCGATAAGCTGAGCAGAGCTGATTGGTACTCAGGGCGCTTGACAGTGGATGAACTTGGATTTCAGAACAAACTGGACCCTCAAAGCCGAAAGTGGACCTCCCAATCACCGTTGATGGGCTGTGTGGATCTGCGGGATAGAGACCCGAGGGAGGTGAGACTGAAGCTCACTGCCGCCCGAGCCTTTTAGTTCAAGTGTTCCGGCCTCACGGGAGGACAGTAGACAGGGAGGTTCCTTTTTCTTGTGAATTGCATCGTTACTAGTAACAAAGGGTATCGCTACTAGGAGCAAGGACGCTACTAGTAGCTCCTGGCATTATAAGTACTGTAACAAGAAGCTACTGGTTTTGAGCACACCCCCGAAAAAAATAGGAATGGCTACTATATAGGGACGGGCGTGGGAAAGGTTAAGACAATGTGTTGATGATGTTTGAGTATATTTATACGCAGTTGAGATTCCTAGTAGGTGAGTGCCACTTAGGTTCCAGGTAAACATATATGAATCAATATGTATATAATATACAAATACATATATATATTATATATATATTAGGTTGTTTTTTTGACACAACCTTTCCTTCCACCTTCCTTGTGCACAGAGGGTTGAGGGGGAAGAGTACGCCTCCAATGTTTTGGACATGTTCTCGAATAAGATGTGTAGTGACCCCTGGAGATAACGCAAAACACTGTTCATTCAACAAGGGCTGCTGCGTGGGGTGGTGTCTCAAGAAGATCCAGGAACCCTCCCCCAGAATCCTTATTATGATATTTGCGGTTCTTTGACGTTTCAAAACTTGAGCAGTGGTTTGGACTGTTTTCTTGTTATGTTTTTTCTATGTTTGCTATAGATTGTTTGGATTCTGATGGTGGGTTATTTGTGTTGTTTGTCCTCAAGGTCTTGGAACCAAAAGGCATGCTACTTGGATCCTCCAACTCCACCGGTCAGCATAAAACGCTTTCCGGCCCTCCAAAGGAGGCGCAGAAGGCACCAACAGTGCAGAGTTTCACGTCGAAAAAAGCGGGGCCTCGGAAGCTCTAGTCGGAAGCTCGACAGTGAGCAGGGTGGTCGTTCTTTGCAAAACTCCACCCGACACATCAGATGGAAGTGGAACAAAACACCGGAAAACACACATGGGCCATGTCATACGTATTCTGTCCTGTCAGTCCAGAGTCTACATGATGTACGTCCCTCACATGATCACGGAAGTGCAACCTGCTAGCTTGTTTGTTCAATAGGGTGTGATGAGTCTCAATCTCCCAAACCATTAGTGCACAACATGTTTTTTCCGGGGGGGGTGTAGGTTTGGTTTGCATGTTGGGTCCACTTGGAAGTTCGTGTGGTTCTTCACTTATTTGGCGCCTGGTTTCATTTGGTTTCCAACTATGAGCCAGATTGGTGGACACGTGGTTGACAGTGTCTACTTTCTCACATTTTTGATGTGAAGGGCTTCGGTCCAGAATCAAATCCACCAAAGGCAGAGGCCACCTGTTCTTCCAAAAAAGCAGTCAGGGGGCCAAAGAAGCCTTGAAAGAAGGGCCACGGGACCTGGGTATAGATGCTTTCAATGCTTTCGAAGGTGAAAGTTACCTCACCTCCAACCTTGAGGGTGGACGGTCTGGAGCTGCTTGATTTCCCCTCGAAACTGCGGAGTTGCTGGCCTTCCGTGACCGGGCAAACAGTCCACTCCTCCAGCTGGAGGAGGCTCTCACACCCGACGAGTTCAATGTCAACAACCCCCCTGGCAGACCACATCCCCTAGGGCTCCTGGCCCACCTCCGTTGCGGTTCGGTGGGGCGTTCGGAGCCCTTTTTGGGGATCCATCAACTCCATTCAACTCTAAACACAGCGCTTCCTGTGTTTCCCTTGGGCTTGTTCGTCGTATCTTCCTTTTTCGAAGGTGGGACTGGGGTGGGCACTAGGAGTGTCATACCATCGTTCCCGAGGTACGAATGGAGCCCCAAGGTTTGCCATCAACATCCATCAACTCCAAACAAAACAAATTATGCTTGTTTTCTTTTCTCCAACAGCCTTTCGAACCCCTTGATGGCCCCCAGGTTTGGCCGCTTGGGCCACGCTGTGGGCACGCCGCGGCCGTGGCGTGTGCTGCTTTGGAGCGAGGAAGGTGCGGTACAGGTTGGAATGGGAGGAAGGTGGGTGAGAGATGTACATCTCGTTGTTTATTTGTGTTTGAGCTTTTATGGCGCACCAAATGTAGACTCTAATTCTAGGTTCTGTATGGTTCTGTAACCACTTGAATTCATTGGAATAGAGAGTTCGGACCCCAAGGGTTTGTAAAGGGTTTAGATCCAAGAAGTTTGGCTGAGAGCAGTTGGGCGGCCCGGCGGAACGGATGCTGAACAACATGATGAGGCATTGGAAAACGGCCTGTTCTTCCAGCCATTTTGATCCCCATGACCCAAAAGGGGTACATGCCACATATCACATATGGGATCCAGTCGTAATCTAATGACTAATGTTGACTGGATCCTTGATGTGATATGAAGTTTGGTGGGTGCTTGGATTCAGTAGAAATTGCTATAAGGATCAAGTAACCAAGCATGCCAAGCATGTAGACCTTCTGAAGCACCAACCCTGTCGCGCGTGAGGCGCCCAGCACCTTTCGAGGATTCGGGCCTTGCAGCTTTTTGCCGGGACTCCCGTGAAGGGTTGCTTTTTGGCCCGCGGCTGATGTGCCGCCCTTGCGCCTGTCACGTACGTCGCGTTCCACTTGCTTTGAAGATGATGTCACATGCACACACACTTTGAAAAGATGACGTTGATGATGTCACATGCGCACACGCAACTTGACAGCATTGTGGAGAAGGTAGAAAAGATGGAAACCATTTGGGAACCTTGCAGTCGAACGACTGTGTTTTTTTACATTTTTTGCGCGCTCCAATCCAAAATGTGCGTTTCGCTGTAGCAAGACGCGCCACGCAAGCATTCTACTTGGGAACACGCATGATACTTGACGCGTCCGGAAATGCATTTCTAAGAAACACCCACTGTAAATACCAATAAGAACTCCACGGACCAAAAAAAACACACAAATCAACCGCGCATGGCGGCGTATCAGCCGCGAGCCTGGTTTTTTCCCAAACAGTGTGTCCACACTAGGTGTTCTTACAGTAATTAGTGGCTAAGGACGGGTCGTTGATCGGGGGTGCTCATCGGCGTTTGCGGCTAATTCGCTGCTGTTTACAGTACACTCATTCACTTCCAGATCTTCGAAGTGCATTTCGACTGCGCAAGCTCGCAGAGTCGTGCTCTCGTTGTTGTGCTGTGCACATTTTTCGACTTGGTGACCACTTTTCCTGGCAGGCGCAAGGGAAACCTCGTGCTCTGGTGGTCTATATTAAACTTCTCGTGACAGGCGCAGGAGATCGGAGTGGCTTTACGTCGATGTAAAGATTTCGTGGCAGGTGCAGTGCTTTGGGCATGGTGGTGATCTTGGTTTTCGTGGCAGACGCGGTGAGTTGTGACTTTTGAACATGTGGTTTGTTTTCAGAAGTCGGCATCTTGATGTTGTTTGCAGAGGTGCTCTTGGTGCGAATCGCCTTGGCAGGCCTTCGTGATGTGAATCTTTGCGTCCTTGAAGTGCAGATTTCGAGGCAGGCGCAGTACTTGACTTTGTGGACCTTGAAGCGCAGATTTCGTGGCAGGCGGAGTGCTGTGCGGACCATGAAGTGAGGATTTCATGGGATGCACAGCACGTGCTCTCATATGTGTTCGCAGACATTTTACGAAAGCCAGCCGAAGGCTTAGGCTGGAGGGGGGGTCTGGAATAGGTATCGTGAGGAAGGGTGAGGCCGGAATAGGGTGGGCGAACGGAAAAAAGGGTTGGTCCACTTGTCTCGTTTTTGGACACATGGACGAACACACCCACGATGTCAATAATGCAATATCCACCGGCCGGCATATCCGGCATCACGAAGGCTTGGCCCGAAACCATGTCAATACAATCTTGAAAGATGGACTTTTCCTTTCAAGTCTTGGGCCTATTGCCCGCGGTCGGCATGCTTCTCGATTGCGCGTGTCAATGCTCAAATGACTGTCGGGTCGTGCGTTTCATAGCGAGGTTCTTGATAGTCACGGTCCAGCAA